GACCCCTTCATTAATTTTACCTACTTCTATTTCAGGGTAGTGGTACCACACTTGAGCCTGCTCACGCCCTGCCTGGAGGAGTCCCAGAGAGGCTTTTGCTAGGTCTGGAATGAACAAGACTAGGGGCTGTCATAGGCCTTTGACCAGACACTGTCTCAAATACCAAACGATCAAATATTCCGTGAGAAGTTCCATAGACAGCGATGTGAAAAACCTCAGACCTTAGGATTCTCGTGGCCTCTGCCGCGCCCTAGTTTAGGCAAGCATCCTTGCTCAAGCCAGTGTGCAGTGTGGAAGCCTCCTGCTTTTTTCCCCTCTCCCGGTGAGTGTGTACTCTCCATTTATCTGCAAGCCCAGAAGTGCTGGCTCTGATTGATCCTCATTTCTCTGCCATGGTTACTTGGGGATTATCTTGGCCCCTTTGGAACTTACAAACACACACCTATAGACATGCTTGTAGAGCTGTGAATGGCCATTATGGTACTGGTTATAAAGACTTAGATGATAGAGCTAAGAGGCAAAGGATTGAACCAAGCTGGAGAGCACAGGTAACCCTCACTCTGAAGACTGGTAAAGCCAACGTACAAAGCATAGATCTCTAAGACAGGAGTCGGGGAGGGTAGAATCAAGGCAGAAGAGAGTTGGGATCAAGTGAGGGGCATCCTGGAAGCTGCCTAGGTTGCTGAGTCATAGCTGCTGAGCCAGGAAAAGGGACAGCTATAAGTAAGTAGCTCAGACTGGTTTTAATGGGTAGCTTGTAACTTCTCAGGAGTGAGGGATACAGTTATTCTGTGAGAAGGGAGCAGGAGTTCTGGTTTAGGCTGGCTGTGTGGAAGTGGCAGGGGAGCTCAGTGACAAAGGTTAATGTGATTGACAGGAACTGGGGCTGGAGTGGGCGGGGCATTCAGCGGAGTAAGGCTATCAACACAAGCCTGCCTGTGCTCCAGTTGGCTGGGGCTGGGGGAGGGAGGGAACAAACTTAGGCCTGTTGCTCTAATGTGTCAGAGCCTGTGTGAGCATTCACATCCTTGGGAGCATGCATTAAAGGAGATTTGTGTATGGCGATTAGGAATCCCATCTTCAAACTGCAAGGAATGGATCCAGAGCCTCAGGGGACTGGAGAGATGGATCAAACAGTGAAGTTCTTGCCTTGTGAACATGAGGACCTGATTCACTCCCTGGAACCATAGAATCCACATTTAAAAAAAAAAAATCTGGGTGATGGTGATGATTGTAATCACAGTGCCAGAGAAATAGAGAGGAGGATCCTTGCGGCTCCCTGGCCAGCTCGCCTCCCTTGTTGGCTGAATTCTAGGGACAACAAGAGACCCTGTCTCAAAACACAAAATAAGCCAGGCAGTGATGGGTCACATGCCTTTAATCTCAGCACTCGGGAGGCAGAGGGGGGCAGATCTCTGTGAGTTTGAGGCCAACCTGGTCTACAGAGTAAGTTCCAGGACAACCAGAACAAAAACAACAACAATAACAACAGCAAACCACACAAAACAAATACAATGAAAACCCAACAAGACAAAGCAATGCCTGAGAGATGACATGTGAGGTGGTATCTGGCTTCTACATGTACATGCATCTTCATGCATGCATGCCCATGGAACATATGTAGATGTAAGCAACCGTCTTAGTAAATAAGAAACACAGAACCAATGCAAAGCAGAAAGCCAAGAGATCAGAGCTAAGAGCCTTACTCACCTGCTGCAGCTAGCCTCTTCAGCCAAGAGACCTCTCCGAAAGAGAGCTACTTCCTGTCTGTTTGTCTTTATATAGACTTTCTGTTCTGCCTTCTCATTGGTTGTAAACCCAACCACATGACTGCCTTGTCAATGCCTGTATGTACAGCCCTCCAGGTCTTCTATGGTATTGAGATTAAAGGCGTGTGTCTCCAATGCTGGCTGTATCCTTGACTACACAGAGATCTACCTAGCTCTTCCTACCAAGTGCTGGGATTAAAGGCATGTGCCATGAACGCCCAGCTCTGCTATGGCTTGCTATCAGCTCTGACCCCCAGACAACTTTATTTATTAACATACAAATAAAATCACATTTCAGTACAAATAAAATATCACCATAAACATACACAAAAACCAACCAAGCAACTAAAAATGCAGAGGTTCAGCTGAATGAAGAAAGTTACAGGTAGGGGAGGGGTCACAAGAAGAGCATTGAAATGGGCTATAAGGAGGAAGAGGAAGGTTTTTAAAGTTTATGGGAAGGGTTTGTACATTGAACTTAACTGTGGAAGACTTTGATTATTTGATTAAAAAAATAAGGCTATTAGCAATTCTATGCCATTATCAAAGGCACTTCACTTTTAATCTGTCCTCCCCATGTCCTGCTCGACTCAGATCAATATTCTGTCATCTGCAGAAGAGGGATCAAATTCAGAGCATCAGAGCATCTGGAGAGGTGCTGCTCAACCTGTGGGTTGTGACCCTTTGGGGGATTGGAACAGTCCTTACACAGGGATGACCTAAGACCATCTGAAAACTCAGCTATTTATGTTACAATTCATAACAGTAGCAACATTACAGTTATGAAGTAGCAACGAAAATAATTTTATGGTTGGGGTCACTACAACATGAGGAACTGTATTAAAGGGTTGTAGCATTAGGAAGGTTGAGAACCACTGATCTAGAGAGTCCTGGAGGTAGAGGGAGGTAGGGAAGGCAGATAGACTCCTACAAGGATAGGGTTCAGGCAAAAGGAAAATTGTGTTGTTTCCCTGGGGAAGCATTATAGAGTTAGTCCCTGGTGTAGAAGAGGCAGTGTGTTATGCCTAGGCACAGGACACCCAGCCTCCATCTTTCTGTCCTTCCCTATCCTCAAGCAGGTAGGTTTCCCAGGGCTCTCCTGGGGGCCATATGATAGTAGACTCTCAACAGCATTTAGAATTACCATGGAAACGAACCTCTGGGCACATCTGGGAAGAATTTTCTAAATGAGGTTAATTGAGATAGGAAGAGCCATCCTAAATTTGAGTGTCCCAGACTAAAGAGCAAGCAAGGTGAACACCAGCCTTCATGTCTCTCTGCTTCTTGACTGTAGGGGCCACCTGATGCCTCATGCCCATGCCACTATGATTTTCCTACTGTGATGGACTGTGCCCTTAAACTGTGAGCAAACAAAACCCTCCCTTCCTTCTTTAACTTGCTTTCATTGGGTATTTTGTCACAACAGTGAGAAGAGGGACAGATACAGAAGTGTATGTGAGCCTCGAACATGGTAATGAAGTTATAAGTCTGCAAAGAGGCATCAGCAGGAGCCAGGACATGGAGCAGACAGGATGCTCTGGCATTGACCATTCATTTAGGGGCTGGATGAGAATGGCATCTATATCAACTTGGAAAGGGGTCATATTTGAGGCCCAAACAGGGATATGTCACTGTTTGACAAAAGGAATCCAGGGCAGACTGAGCAAGGATATAGTTTTCCTTAGCCTCAGTGTCCGGGAACAGATATAGCGGGGGTGGCGAGCCTGAATTTAACACAGCTGAATACTGAAAGGATTGAGAAAGTCTCTAGTGCTGGATTTTACCTGGAAATGACTATGCTAGTGTTTCTGCACTTGCTACAATGAGGGCTTGAGATAGAAAATCAATCCAATTAAAGGCGAAAAAAGGTGATGGCAGTGTAAAGCCAGAGATTTCCGGGCTGGGAAAGTCCTACTCCTGCAATTATTTCTTACCTCCTCTGCCTCCTTCCCCAGCTTGTCGTCCATCTCATCTACTCAAACCTGCTGAACTGTGCTCTGGTTTATAGAAATGTAGGCCTAATAGAAATCCCAGGAATGTGTAGCCTAGAAATAACAAAGCCAGACGAAGTTTAGAAAAGGCCTGATATCTTTATTTCACCAGTGAAGAATCCGAACCCCAGAGAGGGAGACACTTTGCTCAGAGTCCCAAAACAATTGAGCAGCTGAATCCAGAAAACCTGGATTGGGAGCTGTCCCTGTCCCCCCACCAGCCCTTCCTCAGGGCAGCTCTAGTCCTGCTTGGTCACTTTTCCACGGACCTTCCCTCCCAGCCTTGGTCTCACTCGTAGCCACAGCCAGTTACAAGCTACCTCCAAACTCAGGCACAAGTCTGGGTCTCCAGCAAGAAGGCAGCGGCTGGGTCTCCCAGGCGGTATCTGTGATATGTAGCAGATGGTGTCAGAACGGGGAGCAGAGGAGAGAGGGCCAAGGGGAGCAGCTCAATGGGGAGACTTATGGGTGACCCTCTATAAAGTGACCTCTTGGCCCCAGAACAAAGCACTTCTCCAACACACCATGGATCATAGCTTGCGGGAGACGACATGACACATGCCAGAGATTCTTTCCAAGCCACAATAACTTTGGAGCCATGGCAGCAAGTCTGTGCCTGCCAGGGTCGGAGAGCACCCCCTCAGGCCGTGTTATGAGGAAAAGAGGTCTTGGGTCTCACTGGGGTAGGAGCACTGGCAGCCAAGACACCACCCCAAACACAGAAAGCCCAAGGGAACAAATGGTGAGGAGTCTCTGCCCTAATGGTCAACTCTAAATCAACAAGGACCCTTGCAAGGAGGGCAGATCTCTTCTGAGTTGATAGTCTCAGCTCTGGGCCAGCAGCTTTGGCCCATAGTTCCTCTAGTCCTCTAGAAGGCAGGAGTTCTATACCTACTTTGCAGAGATGAAAAAATGAAGTTGAAAAGGCTAAGCGTCTTAGTCAGGGTTACTATTGCTGTGATAAAATACCACGATCAAAAGCAACTTGGGGAAGAAAGGGTTTATTTGTCTTATACTGTTCATCATGGAAGGAAGTCAGGACAGGAACCTGGAGGCAGGACCTGATGCAGAGGCTATGGAGGAACATTGCTTACTGGCTTGCTCCTCACAGCTTGCTCAGCCTGCTTTTTTATTGAACCCAGGATCACCAGCCCAGGGATGGCACCACCCACAATAGACTGGGTGCTCCCCCACCAATCACTAATTAAGAAAATGCCCTACAGGCTTGCTTCAGCCCCATCTTATGGAGGCATTTTCTGAATTGAGGTTCCCTCCTCTCAGATGACGTTCGCTTGTGTCGAGTTGACATGAAACTATCCCACACACAGTTTTAAAGAGGATACCTGGGATTAGAACGCAGGTATGTCTCACTCATTGGGCCCTGGGCTTTCCAGATGGTTCTGATGTGTCTTCAGCTGCAAGGGAGCTCAGGGCAATGCTTCATAGCTTCCCCGAATCTCTCTGGGGAATTTCTTTCTGAGACTTCCTTCTCATGAAAATCTGATGCAGAGGGTGTGTGTGTGGGGGGGGGTGGGGGGGTTGTGCACAGCATGAACTGTCTCAGAGTCAAGCTGCTTGAACATTTGTTTCATCTCTGGCCGGCAGCATTGTCTGACCGCTCACTTCTTTGTTTAAGTAGGCTGTCCTCTAAGCGGTAACCAGAACTAGATCTCAGGATCCACTGTTATTTTCACCCATTTCTGCTGCTGCAACAGAGTTTCCAAGCTGTGTGACTATGAAGAACAGAGGTTGAGTTCCCACGTTCTAGAGGCTAGACCATCCACCAGGTGCCAGCATGAAAAGCCCTTCTGACTTCATCATAACAGGACAGAGGCCATCAGATAGCAAGAGAGAAAAAGTGTGCTGTTGTTCTTATATAATAATTACTATTGCCACCACGGGGGTGGGGAATAGTTTCTAATAAGACTTCATTTACCCCAATTACCTCACAAATATTTTCCTCCAAGCAGAATCAATGTAAGACATTTACAATTTAAGTTTTCAATACATGATCTGTGTGTGGATTATTTTTTTGTTTATTTTTTTTGAGGGGGTTATCGCTATGCAGCCCAGGCTAGTTTTGAACACCTAACCCTCCTTCCTCAGTCTCTGAAGGGCTGAGATTATAAAAAAAAAAAATGTGTCATCATTTTTGGTTCAACACATGGACTTTGAAGAGACACACACATTTCATAAAGCACCCACGCTCTCTCAGTGATGTTCTATCTGTGGTTCTCAAGCTGTGGGTCACGGACTCCTCACTTTGCATAGCAGATATTCACACTGTGATTCATAACAGTAGCAAAACTACAGTCATGAAGCAGCAATGAAATGATGTTAAGGTTGGGAGTCAGCACAACACGAGGAACTGTATTAAAGGGTCTCGCGGGGCATTAGGACGGTTGAGAACCACTGCTTTAAGCTGTGAGTGCAGCAGCCCTCCACTGGGGGCAGCGGCACTCAGTCAAGGCTGATCATGTGTGAGTGGAGCCTAATGTAATCCAACAAAGCCAAGCTAACACTCCACGAGGCGCAGGTCAGTACTGAGCCGACAGAAATTAGACCGCCGTGATGAACAGTTCCTTAAAGGAACTGTATGAGTACTTTTTTTTTTTTTTTTTTTTTTTTGGTTTTTCGAGACAGGGTTTCTCTGTGTAGCTTTGCGCCTTTCCTGGAACTCACTTGGTAGACCAGGCTGGCCTCGAACTCACAGAGATCCGCCTGGCTCTGCCTCCCGAGTGCTGGGATTAAAGGCGTGCGCCACCACCGCCCGGCTAATGTATGAGTACTTTTACACAACACGGCCAAATCATTCTTCTATTCTCGCCGAGTTTCTCAATTATAATGTGTTCAAACTATGTTTTGTATGATTTCTGCTGAAATAGTTTATTCCCACTGTCTTCCCAACCTTCACACCTACTGTCCCCCTACATATGGAAAGATGGAAGTTCATGCTTCTGCTAACCACTCGTGGGGACCCTTGCCATTCCCACCATGACCCAGACAGGGGGGTTTCAGGTGCTTTATTACAAGATTATGATTTCTTCCTCACATGTTCTCTTGCTCATCTCTCACGCACGAGTGTGCACCTATGCACACGCATGCCAAAGTGAGCCCTCGAAGTGCCTCCTGCTCTCTGAAGGGTTAAGGTGTCCCGCAACGGTGAAATGCCCCCAGAGACAGCCAGCCCTGCTCCGAATCAGTCCTGATCCAGAGAGCTGTGTGTGGTCCCTTGCTACATCCTGTTATGAAGGATGCTGGTCTCTATTTCCATGAGCCTGCTCTCATTCCCAGGCAGGGAAGGAAGTCGAACACGGGAAATAGCGATGGGGTTGAGCGAAATAAATACCTGGCTCTTGCCTCTTTCCGGTGTGATGGCTTCCCTGGGCCTCTGTCTGGCCCACGGGAATAGCATGTGCTAGTGAGGAGCGTCCAGCCTGTGGAGGAGCCATCCTGGTCGATGCTAGAGATCAAAGTAGGAGGTAATTTTGGTAGCCCTAAAAATAGGTCCAGTGGTTATTTCAAAACGGTTTTGCTAGCATCAAGGAGCAAATGTTGGATTTTGCCCAAGCTTCCTGTCACTCCCCCGAGGTCTTCCTCCCCCGTGCTCATTCCCTAGTCCAGCGGCATTTTAAGGCTATTGTGGTGGCCCAGAGACATTTACACACAGGGTTCGTAGGCGTAGACACACGCAACTGAAAAGAACCAGGAAATATGGGCACGCATAGCTCTATTTACTCTTTGATTATATTTCATTTCTTTGAAACTTCTGGTTATTGCTCAGTTAGTGACCCCAGTGACTGACCACTCCTGGCAGGTAGCACCCCACAATTTGAAGCCATTATCCTTCCTCTCTTTCCCTTGGGGCCGTACTACCCAAGGCGTACTTCTATCGCCTGAGGCAAGTCACCCAAACTATATATATATAAAGACTTTGCATCTGTAGAGACTTGACTAATGACCTCTTTGACTGCTGTGATTTGGACTGTTTCTCCCTTTTAAAAGAACCGTCTGCAACATTTCCCAAGCCAGTCCCGATCGAGACTCGGAGCCTCCAATTCAGAGCTCTGAACTCTCTCCTGGCCTGGCTATTGCATTGTGGAGGTGGATATGGAAACCCCCAGCTCCCGGCAAGATGAGCTGTGCAACTTCCTTAATGGCCCAGCGCCTCGCTTTTCTTATCCTATGAGGCTATGATGTAGTGTTGTTGTGGACGGTCAAGGGGACACGGGCAGTGGAATCCTTACAGTGTGATTCAGCATGAGCTCAAGTTACAGGGGCTGCTATTGCTGTGGCAGTTTAAAAAGAAAGAAAAGAAAAGACTGTTTATCTGGTTTCAGGGTCCTTGGTGATCAAAATACCTGGGTAATTGTCAACGCTCTCCGTTTTCAGCCCCTTTAAAAAGCCATCTCAGCCCAAGATGGAAGCCCCTGTGTGACTGGAAAGCAGGCACTGTGTCCTGGGTGGGCTGTCTCTATCTGGTTCTACCCAGGGGGATGAGTTCCATCTCTCTGGACCCCCCTGCTGTTTCCGTCCGCACCCCAGTGAGTGGCACATAGGTAAAGGACGCAGTGTGCCGCCTTCCATTATACTGTACCTTCTCCAACACGGTTCCTTCTGTCTCCATCCGTCCGTTCTCTCATCCTGGCTGCTCAGGTGGGGGAAATTCATAATCCCGGTAGTTTCTCAGTCCTTCATCTTTCTCTCATCAGTCCTCAATCCCCCTCCTTCCTCTCCCCTTCCTGCCCCTTCCCCTCTTTATTCTTCTCCTTTCCCTTCCTCTCCTTTAGCCTCCCCTTCCATTTTATTCCTTTCTTTTTAATTAGTGGGGCATGGGCTACCTTCATTCTCAGATTCACTGACCTCATTGCAGACAAACTTAGTCAGTGCCACTTTCTCCATTTAGAACTTCACCACTTGCAGAGCATTTTTTTTTACCCAAGATCTTCTTCGTCTTTATGCCCATTTTACAGATTAGAAAAATGAGACTGCAGAAACATACTTGAAATCATCCAGCTACCAAGGCCATATGGCTCAGGGCTTTTCATGTGGGAGTCAGTGATTTTTTTTTTTTTTCTGTATACCCGCTTCTTTGATACTCTGGAGAGCTTTTAACATGGAAAGGAGTTACTGGGGTTGGATAGTTAAATAATTAGCTATACTGAAAGAGGGGACAATCACAGGTGAGAAATCCTGCACCCCACAAGGCTAATTATAGTCTTTTCTTTTTCTTCTTCTTTGGTGTGTGTGTGTGTGTGTGTGTGTGTGTGTGTGTGTGTACTGCTACCTACAATTGCACAGAAGTTTTTGGATTCATTCTCACCCTCACTATAATTTATAATCATTGTAGATGTTGGTTTACTGACTTTTGTCTTTTTCTTGACTAAAATCTATGCTCCAGCTGGACAAAACCATGCTTTCTTTATCCTCATGGTATCCCCAACACATGCATTGGGCCACCACATACCTGTTGCTTGAAAAATACTGTCATAAAATACAAGATGAGGCTTACCATAGGGAGACTGGGCTGGGAAGTTCTGTCTTTATTTATGTGGCTTATTTCTATCTGTGTTCTGTGACCTGGACGACATTAATGTTTTGGCTCATACACAAAGGCAAGGGGAAAATTGAGGTAATTACGTGGGTAATTCGAGCAGAATGGACCACCCACTCTGACCTCAATTATATCTGGTTATTTTAGGTGGAAGTAGCTTCAGACCCAAAGAGCTGGAATAATTGCCTCACCTCTCCATTTAGTTTTCGCTGTGGCCAGATGCAGAAATGCTCCCCCACTGAGGCTGTGTGAACTACCGCGGGCGGCACCTAGGCATGTGATGCAGATACGATTGTGCACACACACAGAAGAGGGCAGAGAGAGCAGGAGCTAGCTGAAGGACAGGAAGCGCTCTCCTGGAGGCTTTCCCTTTCCACCACACCTGGTCCTTTGCAGCCTTCTGCTTCCTCTCCTCGAGTGTTCTCTTCTGGAGTCAAGGAAATCGTCACTTGACCTTGGCAATCCTGGGCTAGATCCAAGCTTGAAGCTCACAGGCCAAGAGGACTGGGCTAAAAGACACAGTGTTCAAGGAGATGTGTTCTTCAGTTCTGGATTTGAAAACAGAACAGAAATTCAAGTCGGAGCCAGCAAGTTTGGCGGTGCTGGGTCAATAGTATTTAATTGTGATATCTGGCTAGAGCAGGAAGCTCAGGCAATGTAAAACAGCTTGGCCTTCTCTCTCTCTCCTCCCCTCTCTTTCCTTTCTTCTCTCCTCTCCCTTGAAATGATGGTGCATCCCTCGGGACTTTTCTAAGCCAGCCTTGCAGCAAGAAGGAAGGAGGTGGCTTCGTTACCCTGCTGCAAGGGTAAGAAGGCCCAAGTCCAAGGAACCCAGCCCCTTGCCCACAGTACTCACTTACCTGGGCGCTCAGCCTGCCTGGCTCCAAGTGTGCACCCTGACCCAGCAGACTGGAGCTGGTTGCAGGGTGAGAGCAAGTATCTCGTGACTCCTAGGCTCTTCTGGGCCCTGAGCTGCCTGGCAGGAAGCCCGGAGCTGCTGGCCTTCCTCTGGCCCTGTCCACACTCCAGAAGCACTCAATTCAACCTGATAAGCCCACCGGTGCCATGAGACGGGTCTGACACTCCAGGAGCCCTCGGGGGGGGCTAAGTGGGTATCTACAGAATCCAGAGCCCCCATCTTGGAGAGGGTGCCTCTTATACACCAGGACCACTGGCTCCCAGATAGCAAGTGGCCCCAGATCCCTGGCCTCCGGCTGTCAACACCAGCAATCTCATTTAGGAGCTAAGCCCTCACACTTCCCAGGACGACCAGGGGCCAGGCCTCCTAGAGCAACGCGCCAACTCGCTTTGAGCCCAGGGCCTTGTCCTCTGGCCAGTGTCTTCATAGGTCGGATTCCCATGACCAAGATGGGCTTGGTGCCCATGAGCACCAGACCTTCTGGCTGAGCCCCACGGGGGAGGTGATACATTTACAATCCAGCACCAGGCCTACAAGTCCTTCTGGCTTGTAAAGAGGTAGACTTGCCCCACATTCTGGCAGCCTCTAGTCTGTAATACCCCAGCAGATCATTCCCATGAGGAAACAGTTGCTTTCCCATTCCAGGTAAAAGGTTGGGAGAGGCCAACATATGGGTTTGGGAGTTTGGACCTGGATGAAAAAAAAATAATAATAATAAGTGAATGTTAGAATAATGAAGCAGGACCTGGGAAACCGATCCCAATAGATCTTGGGTTGTCTATAGCGTAAACACCTGGGAAGTCTCATACAGAGCAATTTGCTTGTATTAGTTCCTTTCTTTCCTTGCTGTGGCAAAATACTCCAGAAAAGCAATTTAAAGAAAAAAGGATCCTTTGGGCTCACACTTCCAGGGTGAGGAAGCTATGACGCAGGAGCTTGAGCCAGCAGGTCACATTGTTCCAGTAGTAAGCAAGCAGAGGGAGATGAATGCTGGTGCTCAACTCCTTTTCTGCTGCTTCTTCAGCCCAAGACCTCAGCGCAGGGGATGACTCCACCTACATTTAATGTAGGGGTGAGCGGGTGAGCGGGTGAGCAGGTGGGACTTCTACCTCAATTGACACAATGTAGAAAGCCTTTGACAGACATGTCCAGAGGGTCATTTCCATGGTGATTCTAAATCTCAAGTTAATAACCAAGATTAATCATTACCTTGCTAAAAAACAAAAAAACAATACATAAGAAAAGATGTTATGGGGTCCAAGATCTTCCTTACCCTTTTTTTCAGAAGAAGGAAGGAGATTGGAGACACTGGGGAATGGCCACACATTAGGGCTGACCAGCAGGTGTAATCACTTCACATTGAGTGACTATGTTGTGCGACAAATGTGTACCTTTAAGCACTGTAGACACGTGGTAGGTAACACTGGAGGAGGTAGACCTGACTCAGACAGATGCAGGTTTTCTGGCTTCTGAGGTAGATGCTCACTAGGTAGTTTGGTAACTAGTTGCCCACATGATGGTTTCGTGATGTGACTCTGCAGTGTTGACACACGGCATCTGCATGTCTGGATGCCAGACTGAGTGAAGCAGGGTCATCGTAAATAATATAAAGAAGCCAAGGGCCTGCCCCGTGGACTCGAGCTCAGTGCTCTTAGGCCACTTTGTTTTCTTTTTCCGAAAGCCTAGTCTTTTTAATGTGGCATTTTTGGAGTGAGGAGAGCCTGGGCTGGGGCCACTTTCTGGTACCAAACAAGAAGGATACACCAGCACAATCATAATTTGAATCTGCCACCCAATCCTGCATGTAAAGGAATCCCTTGTTACAGACTGGCAACTGCCATCTCCCTGGTGTGGAACAAGGGTTAGACAACGGAGCCTTCCAATATCCCTACAGCTACCAGAGCATCTGGCCATTGGGGGAGCGGGGCTGGGAGAAAGACAGGGGTACAGGCAGAGCATAGAAGGGCCTAGAGGCCCCAGTGGCTTCTGGGAGGGAAGGTGAGGGGTAACCTCATCAGAACTAAGGAGGCTACCACTACAATGAAGGGAAAATAAAGAACCCAAGTTACAATAACCTCAACATCACTCTCCAAACAGCCAAACGTTTCCCTTAAGTGCACTTGGAAGCAGAGGCAGCCGATGCTCTGCAAATATTTGTAGCAGCATTTTAAAATTCATTCCTCTTTAGAGGCAAAAGTAGCATGGTGAATGTTATAAAAAAGGTAAATATCAAAATAACGGACACCCCCCAAAAAGTGAAAGGCTCACCTAATTCCACCATGCTGGAAATAAACATGGGTAACAGTTTAGGATATTTATACTCGGGTTTTAGCCAATCATCTGCTCACACAGTAAAGACACATGCAGCAGGGAAAGCGTGTGTTTGAACTTGTCTTTCTCTTTTCCTAGTAGGATGGGGTCCTCCAGCCTATGGCTGTCTTTCCCGTTCAGTAACAGCAATCTCGCCCTAGGCATGGGGTCCTCTGCCTGTCACCTAGGTTCTTCTCACATGGGGTCACTGTGGCATCTGAAACAAGGCATTGTGGGTATAGGGATGTTGTGATACAGCCAGAAATACACGTTTGGTTTCTGTTCCTGCCTCCTGGTTTCTGACTTGAGCTCCCAAAGCCCTTGCAGCCCAACCCCTCCCTATTCTAGGAAAAATATTTTATTCTGACATTTACTATTGTTTATTAGAGTTTATAATTAGAATATATATGGGGGGTATGACTTGATGTTTCAATACATGCATGCATTATATATTGATCAAATCAAAGTTGCTAGCCTATTGACCATCTGCGCTTATCATTTCTTTGTGGTGAGAACCTCAAAGCCTCTCATCCGGCTGTTTTCAAATGTACCATGCCTTATGACATAGCAGTGCTATCACTGTATATCATCATATACTGTGATATACTGAGCAATAGGAACATGTGATACAGATCTCCTAAATCCACTGGAATTCCCTGGATGATACGAGCATCTTGGGTTTTGATGATGGAATTCTTCGTGGGCTCCTAAAGGGCCTCAGGATACGTGCTGGTTGCTGTTGTACGAATTCAAAATGGTCTTATAAACAAACAAACAAACAAACAAACAAACAAACAAAACCAAAAACGGATCCTGGTATTGGGGTAAATGCTGAAAGATCAGAGAGACAAAGGAACAAGCCACTGCCACATCTTACCTCTAGGACTCCTCAGCCTGAAGTCTTTAGTTCCTGTCTCCTCATGCCTTACATACCTTTCTTCATCTAACCATTAAAGGCGTGTGTGCTTCCCAAGTACTAGGATTAAAAGTGTGTGCCACCACTGCCTGGCTCTGTTTCTCTCCTAGATTGAATCAATCTCATGTAGTCCAGGGTGGCTTTGAACTCACAGAGATCCAAATGGATCTCTGCCTCCCGAGTGCTAGGTTAAAGGCATGTGCTACCACTGCCTGACCTCTGTGTTTAATCTAGTGGCTTGTTCTGTCCTCTGATCTTCAGGTAAATTTTATTAGGGTACACAATATATCACCACAGGTTGCCAGAGGAACCAGTCATGTAGTTAGATGGTTAGAACTTCCGGCACTCATCTCCCTCTCTCTCCATCCCCATCTCTGGAAAGAAGGCATTGAAGGCTGAATCAATCACCAGTGGTCACAAATGTAATCAATCATACTTTTGTACGAAGCATCCATAAATACCCCCTCCCAAAGAACTGTGTTTGGAAAGCCTCCAGACAGCTGAACACATGGGGGAATTTCTCGAGGTGGTCAACCCAGAAGGGACATGGAAACATGTACTCTTCCCATATACCTTGCCCTAGCCCTATACATCTCTTCCATTGTACTATTCATCTGTAACTTTTTCTATAAGTGACTAATCATAATGAAAACATTTCTATGAGTTCTATGAGCCTCTCTAGTATGTTCATTGGAGCCAAATGAAGATGTTTAGGGGAACTTAATTACACCTAGTTCAACAGAGGTAGAGGAGACGGACTTTGATATTGGAATTGGAGGACAGTCTTGTGGCACTGTAAACCGGGTGGCCAAGCACTACCTCTGGTGACAACAGACAGTGACAGAATTGAGCCAACTATCAGGACATTTAGTTGAAATCTACTGGAGAATACTTACCTGGTGCATGAGGAAGTGGCACCTGCGTATTTAGTGTTAGCATGTTGTTGAGTCGAGAGACATCAGGAAACACATTTGGGCTTCCATCTCACATGGGTCATTTCCCAGGATTGTTCTCAGCAAGCGACGCCCAAGGGCCTCCCAAGCACTGCCTTGTCTTTAGGCTCCAGCATGATAGAATTCTAAAGCCCGTCCTCACTCGAATTCTTTGGCTTTGTTTAGCAGAGGTTAAGGAGAAGGCTGATGGCAGGGACTGTCCAGGGAGTTTAAACACACTGAAGCCTTTCACGGGAAAGCTGTGCGACTCACTCAAGGTTCCGCAGCTAGACAGGAGAGCTGTTCTGAAGGCCATGTTCGGCCAGTGAAGAAGTTGGAAGACACTGCTGTTACACACACTGGACTCTAGGCCTCCCAACTTGCTGTCTCCGTAGAGCAAGACGGCTCAGTCTTGGCTGTACTTTAGAATTCCCAGTGCTTAGATGAACCGGTGCCTGCTCTTACAGAGACACAATGAGTTAATTACAGAAAATAAATAATTTTCAATATTTTCCTGCTATCATCCCTCAGCATATAAGTATCAAATTAGCATATCATTGTACTGTATTATGTTAGAAGGTTTGATTTTAAAAACGACTTTCAGTTACTGACTAGAGTTTCATAAAATATCATTAGATGGATTTTTACCTTGGTCTCTGGTAGAACTTTCAATACCTTCTGAAATGGCTCTGAACATACTTTTGCCATTCTGTACTGTTTATGTGAATCTCAACGCTGACAATTATAAAATCAAAATATCGACCAACCATGAGAATGTTGAAGATGCTCTATGTCCTGCAGAATTTAGTCTAGATTTGATTCTTTATATAAAAAGAACAAACTCATCCACCTCATTAGTTTGCAAGTTTGCTTTCATGTTTGGTAAATAATAAAATTATATGTATCCCCATGACTCATTTTAAAATTAGTTTCTTTATGGTTTACTGGCAGTATTTGATTTGTATACCTATTTTATTTTTTTGTTTATTCATATATTTATTTTTGAGACTCAGACTCAAAAACTTCTTATGGTGCAGATGACCTTGAACTTTTAATCCTCTTGCCTCTTCTTTCTGAGTGCTGGAATTACTGGCATGTTTCTACCCATCTGGTTTATGTGGCCCCAGGTACTTACATTCATGTTTGAAGGGAAGTTCTCTCCCTACTGAGCTATATCCCTAGTCCTATATACTCAGTTTATATTACTGTCTATCTAGAGTTATGCATAAAATTTCTTGGCCAAAACCCACAGTAGAAAAAGATTAAGAAGCCCTGCTCTAAGGAACTCTAGTCACTAGCTGTGGCTCAGAGCATCTTGTCTACCCACTCTGGTCTGGGTACTAGGGTCATGGCCTTGATACCTGTGGTGGTCTGAATAAAAATGACTCTCATAGACTCATAGAGAGTCACATTCATTTGAGGTGTGGCCTCATTGGAGTAGGTGTGGCCTCATTAGAGTGGGTGTGGCCTCATTGGAGTAGGCATGGCCTTGTTGGAAGAAGTGTGTCACTTGTGGGGTGAACTTTGAGGTTTCAGAACAAGCTAGGTCCAGTATGTCACTCTATTTCTGCTGTCTGTCAGTTATGATGCAGCACCTTGTCTGTCTGTGTACCACCATGCTCCTCACCATGAAGATAATGTACTAAACCTCTGAACTGTAAGCCAGCCCCAATCAAATATTTTCCTTTATAAGAGCTGCCATGGTCATGGTGTCTCTTCATAGCAATAGAAATCCTAACTAAGGCCAAATATAGAGTAGCCAGTAGAGTGTCTAGGAAGACAAACTGGGGTCATCGAGTAGAGGCTTGCTTGCCTTGATGACCTTGCTGCCTTTCCCCAAGTAGATGTAGATCTGGGTAGCAGGAAGATGGGCTCCTTCTACCCTATTGGTCAACTCTAGATAGATGCTAGACAGATCGTCTCTGAGATCTCAAGGAGTCCTTAGAGTCTCCAGGCATGTGCTCTGTCCCTGTTCCTTTTAGATGGCTCAGAAATGCTCTCTCAAGAAATGTTATCTTCTTTTTCACCCAAGAGTTAGGCTGGGGTCCACTACTATCATTAACCCCCATAGTTGACTGGTCCAAGGCTTAGCTCTCAAATAATGTCTGGTAGAGTGGTCTACACACTTTAGGTAGAACCGCAAACAACTGACTCATAAGGCTTCTTTATTGGATGGAAGCAGTGTAGATGTGGGAGCTCAGGGACTCTGTGATCCCAGAGCCCTTCAGTAAAGCCCTCATTTCACCATTTTTCAGCATGACCTTAAATTAATGTCCTGTCCAGGCCTTGGTTGTCTCATCTGCGAAGTTCAGATGTCAATCATACCTGCTCCATAGGCTTGCTGGAGGATTAAATAAGACCGTGCAAATAAAACACATATTTCAGATCTAGCATCTCCAAAGACCCTACTTACTATATCCTGGTCACTACCAATCTACTGTTCTGCTTTTTTTCCATCTGTGGGCTGGCACCACCCATGCCAGACCCCACCTTTATTTCTGTTTTGGACTCTCCCCCAATTCCCTTCCTCCCCTGCTGTCTCTGTTAATGTAACTTTACATGAGTGCTCTCACATGTCCTAGTCATTTCTCTTGTTTTAAGGGTGTCAGAAGAGCTGAGAGTTCACGACTACGCTGAGGATCATTGACAAAGGATACTCTCAGCCCACTGGGAATAGCACAGTCCACTCAAGCACTGCTCCTGACCCGCTCTGAAGTAGATTCTCATTGACAGATGAGGCATGAGAGCTGACATTATCCCATCATATGGTCCTGAGTATGAGTCCTGCCAGCTGCTGTTAAAACTGCGTGTCCTCATGCAGCTACCGTGAGACCGCCGATGTTGCTCATCTCTAGTTCCTTCAATAAATGTTTTTGCAACCTAATCTTATTAAGGTTTTTATATAAATACGTTCACATGGTTTTTTAAAAAAAAATCCTTTGCAAGCCAGCAAGAGCTATATTTGGGCTCAATTAAATGCCCTGCTTAATTGCAATTATATTTACAGACAGTGTACTAGGGCCTCATCATTCAGTCTGCATCAATCCAGCCTGGTCTTAGGAAATAGAGACAGAAGATGGAAAAGAAATCACTACTTGTTGGTAACCTCTACTTCGGTCTCTGGCATCTGTGATCTCATTTAAGCCTCTTAGCAACTCCCTGTGGTAGGTAGATATAGTCCCTGCATCAAGCTCAGAACGATTAAGGAATTTGCCCTAAGACACGTGGGTAGTCAGTTGTGGGCCGGGGGTTGGTGTTCAGGATGGTTTTTTATCTTTGCTATCAGTTTTCTCTGCCCCCCAGCCTGCATGGTAGAAGACAACCGCCTTAAGCTTCCATGATGCCTGCTACTGAGTCGCCCAGGGAGACCCATTATCCAAGTCATGTATCGAGTTGCACATCTAACTAATGTGTCTGTACGGACAGTGCCACGTTGTGCAAGCATGTGTAGCTTCTGTGCCCTATGTGGGTGGGGTGGGGGGAGGAGAAAGGCTCACTGGATACTCAGAACAGGTTGTCAGTCAGATACACCAGCAGCTGGCCTGTGGCATACAGCTTCTTAGGGTGGTAACTGGTAAGGAAGGCATGGAGGCGGCTGATGGGATTGAGAGTTTCATCGTGAATCCAGCCTGGCACTACCTTCCTGCCTGCCTTCTGACCCTGGTGCAAGCCCGCCCAGCTTACAGTGACCTTTGCCTTCATTGGCTGCCTTGTCCTGGAGAAGGAAGCCAACCAACCCCATACTCATTCCTTACCTCCAGGCTAGACGGAAATCACCCCTCATCTGGTCTCAGAGAGTGATGTGTCGTGGGGTGTGTTGGTCTGACTCCCAGATGTGTTTGCATCTGGCCCTATGCTCCCCACCACCTGGAGTCACATACCTCATTTCTTTGCCCCATTATTTTCCCAGTGATGGATTAGAGGTGTGAACTATGACCCATGCTCCAAGTCTATGACACTCTGGCATCCCCACGGGGACGCAGAGAAAATGAGGTGACATGTGAGGTGTTTTGTCAGTCGATCCTCCAGACTCCCCCCAAAAATGACTGTGGAGAGCTTCTCTGACCCTGCTGCCAGGATCTCAGCCAGATATTCAAACACCGTTCAAAGATGACAGCTAGGGCTTGGCTGTGGTCCTCACACCATGCCAACATGAGCGTCCTTAATTAAATAATCCAGGATGCTCCCTCTCTTCCTCACTGGGAAGGGCTCAGCAACTTTTCTTCAGCCGCTTACTGAGTGGTAATTATCTTTCAACACTGTGGCCTCTGGAAGGCTGGGAAGGGAGCGCTCACCCCAGCTGGGCTGGAGCCAGGCCTGGAGCCAGGAGGACAATGGACATCTCAGAGTCCGTTCTATTGACCTCTCTCCTGAAATGCCACCTCTCAGGTGAGAGGAGCCCTTCATCACCAACTGGAAAGAAAGCGAGCTTGATACCTTCCCACAGTCCCGACAGCTGCAGCCAGAAGGGCGGGGACTTAAAATTTTCACCGTTTTGAACTTTGCTTCTGGGAGTGCCTCCCTAGCTAGGTCTTTTATTATTTGTAACAGCATCATGGCGATTTTTCCTCTCTGATTGTAGCAGGTCATAGTCACGGGATACCTACTCTTGGCAGGCACTGTGTTTACACGCATCTCCTTAGTCACATTTCGTTACTGCACGAAGCAGGTACATTGCTAGGCTTCCGTGTACAGACATGGGGACCAAGGCTCTGGGAGGTTAGGCCCCTCCATCCCAGGTCAGAGGTCATACCGTGGCTAGCAGATAGTGCTGAAACGGGTCCCCTGACCCAAAGGCTCCCTTTTAGCCATGGCTTTCTCCCTTTATCCTTAAGAGTTGAAACCTATTCAGTTCTACGAGTCTGCCTAGGAGCATGCCTTGGAAACGACCCCCAAAGATCCTGAGTTTCTGATTTATAACGCCCCCCACTCCACCCCAGCAGCCTGCACACGCTTGCTGTGTGTGATGCCATTCGCTCCCTGATCTCGCATAGACACTTCAGAGTGGGATTGCTCTCGAGGTAATTTTGCGTTTTGCATTTCATGTTCGGAATTTCAAGGAGCTGCCACGTGTCTTCGGAAGTGGCTGTAGCACGTTATGGAGAGTCCCACCTGAACTGTGGGAGGGCGATGGTTCTCCCCCTTTGTTCTCTCACGTTTCTGTTTTCGCTCCGAATTACCTTTGGGACTCACTCTCCCTTTTTCCTTTGTCCAGTAGCTGATTTTTTCCTCCCCAGCTGAAATAAACACCTACAGGTCTAAACTCCACCTTTACAGATGGCAGCTATTCCCGATGACCTTAACCACGTGCAGACTAAGACCTCCCTGGACCCCTCCCCCGCAAAAGATGCTCCAGCCCACAGTGAACAGAGAACCTAGGAAATGCCTCTTTCTTGTCTCCCTGAGAAGCCGCATGCAGGGAAGGTATGGGTGTCGTTCATGTTCCTTTGAGAAATATGAGATTGAAAGGCAGCGCGCTGAGCACAGTGGAGCACCCCTGTGTCCTAGCCCTCAGAGGGTAGAGGCAAGAAGGTCACAAGTTAGGACCAGCCTGGGCTACACGGCATGTCTATGCAGGAATTTAGCAGATTTTATTACTAATGAACGGGCTGTGTTTATAGCATCTCATCTGTTTTCTTTAAGAAACCCACTTCTGTGACGGCTTCTGTGTTCCCATCTGCCTCCATCTTAGAAATTCCATCTTAAAGGTTAAGTATCTCGCCTGAGATCACCCAGCAAACAGAGGGAGCCCAGGCTTCGACTCAGGCCAGGCTGTATTTCTTTTATCTTTTTTTTCTGCTCTCCCAAATGGCAAGATGCACGTTCTCGCGATCTTTCTATCCTGTCGTGACTTCTTGGGTACTTCATGGAGACCCTTCCTTGCCATCTCCTTCCTGCATGCTTCTTGTGGATGACCTAGATCCCCTCAAGTTCAAGCCCTTCATCTGTCTGACCTGAGCTTCTTGGGCCTACCCTGGTCACATGGTACTCTTTTGGCACACACACACACACACACACACACACACACACACACACACACACACAAGCGCTAGCATTTGCTTTATCTGTTTTTTTTTTTTTTTTTTTTTTTTTCCACATCATCATTGTTTCCATAGGATGTCTGCCTTCCCAAAATAACACCGGGGGATTCCAGGTAAACTCAACATCCGACCAAAATCCCCATTCAGCAGCAGCAGTCTGAGGGCCTCTGGCTAGCCATTGTTTTCTTTCTTCCCTCTGATCACTCAGGCTCAGAGGGATGGGGGAGTGTGGGACAGGGGTTTACCATGGAGCCTGGAAGGGGGAGGCAGCCGGAGGGGAGAGATTTAACCAGGCCCACTGACCTCTGCCCCCTGCCCCAGGATTAGAGGTCAACAGCAATGTCCTTTCTCAGTGCCTGGGGCCCGTGATGACGGCACACACTACATTTTCAGTGTATGGATTACAGACAGATGTTCTGTACCTGGGCTAGCCTCATTGGCTTTGGGGTCTCTGTGTCTGTTGTGTCTGTGTGCCTCCCCTTGGATCCCCTCCCCACTTCCTGGGCTGTAACTACGCGCTCCCAGCTCGCCTGTTTCTGCCTTGTGAGAACATGCTCTGTAGACGTGGGCAAAGCTGAGCTGTGTCTGCTGTTTACTCCCCCTCCACGGCTTTCTGAACACTTCCTGCAATTTTCCTTGATCTGTCTGACAAGCTCGCGTCCAGAAGCGCTGTTATCATCGTCCTTGGATGTGGCGGTTTCACTGTGTCCTTCTTTTCACTGAAAAAAAGAAAGAAAAAGAAGCCAGCTAACAGGGGGATCCCAGGGGTCAGTGGGCAAAACAGCTGCTAGGCAAACCCGAGGACCCAAGTTCGAGGCTCCAGAACCTAGTTTAAAAAAAAAACTGATATTAGTGCAGGTGTTTAGAATCCCAGTGGTCCTCTGAGAGGATGGGAGGCGAGATGGGACAATTTTGACCTAGCCCAGAATACAAAGAGCAAAAAAGGACAGAGAAGAAGCTGCTTAAAGTGGGAGGTAAGGGCTGACACCCAAGGCTGCTGTCCCTTGAGTTCTACATGTGTGCCATGACATGAACACACACACACACACACACACACACACACACACACGAGCTCAGCATCATCAGTCCCTTGGAGAGGTGACCCTAGGCTACCTCCAAGGGAGTTACTGTTCCTGTCTTTGGTCACTGGAAGATTCCACTCCAGCAGGAAGCATCCTTTCTGGTCACATATAGGGGTTTGGCTGATATTGAACAGTGAGTATGATGTGTGAATGCCATGGAAATCTGGTCTTAGAAACTGTTTTATTAGGAAGACTTCCAACACAGAGGGAAACAAATGGGATAATGAAACATATATGTACTGAGGCCTTTGCTCCAATTTCAAACCAGTTGTATTTCTCGTCTTAGCTCGCATCCACCCCTTCTCCCGTCCAGAGCATGTTGCTATCACATATTTTATCCATGAGCATCTTGGCCTGCATTTCTAAGACATAAGGGCCCTTAAAAAGACTTAAACACAATACCTTGACACACCAAAAGCCGAGAAATTCTTCGATATAGTCAACGTGTTCAAATTTGTCCAATTTTCTCATTATTGTTTTATGGCTTGGGAAGGCATTTTCAAATTATTTCTTTGGGTTGAAAAACTTGTCAGGGTACTTTTAAAATATTTTATCAGTGTTTTTCTATGTCAAGGATTCACCCATTTAATGAAGCTTGTTAAAATGAAGATTTCCAGATTCTACCTGGATGTAGAGAGAGGCCCCAGAAGTTCCCTTGTGTATGCATGGCTATCAAAACTCGTTTCTTTCCTCATCTGTGTTTAACTCTTCGGCCTCCCCTTTTTAAAGTGCCTTCTTATCCTGTGATTTAGTTGCAGGGA